AGGAAGGAAGGAAGGAAGGAAGGAAGGAAGGAAGGAAGGAAGGAATGTTTGCCGGTTACTTTTTTCCATTATAGTCTTTTGTAGTACACTGAATAATTTTTTAGTTCTTTAGGAAAGATATAATATTTAAATGGGAATGGGAGAGTATGCACCTGCCTATATTGACTGAAGTAATTGTTTAAATAGTTAAACTTTCTTCTACCTTAGAAGAAAATTATTAAAATGCAAGACTTGATAGCAGCTTACTTCTTTTCCTAAAATTTGCAGAACCCCAAAATGGCCATTTTCACAACTTCTCCTGCCTCATTGCTAGCTATACTGATAATTAACCAAACAGTGTTCTATCATATGAGGCAAAAAGCTTGGTTCCAGATCTAGAAAATGATTGATTATGTTTAAGTAATTTTTGAGAACTAAATGCTTGGGGAAGTAAAGTTGCATTATGATACCATGATGGAAAGTATGTAGAGGGGTTGTGTGTTTGTGTATATGGCATGGAATCAGGTTCATCTGATTTACAGTCAATATAAGTTGGGTAATTTTTATTAGTTTTCTTTAAAAGTTTATCCACTGAGACATTTTATCTGACAAGATTGAGTATTAATATAATAAACATAACCCTCACTATAATGGTGAATGTGTGATTTAGCTACGGATAAATATTTCAAAGTACATATAAATGTATTTCTTCAGTTCCTACCATCTCAATTTGAGCAGTTGTTCAATGTTCTTCACCTGCTCTCATATTTTGAGTTAAAATCTCAGCAAGTAGCAAAACCATCTCTAATTAAATCAGAAAAGACATGTATATGAATAGAGTATGTCAGTGGTTGCTTCATGATAAGTTCTGATTCTGTCATTCTGAGAAGTAAAAAATTTTTAGTAATATATTGTTATCATGATCTCTGGAGAATCTTATCCTCTATCAATTTAATAGCTTTCCTATTTAAAGTCATTTTAAATGCTGGTTATCTCATTCTCTAGTGATGGGTCTCTAATTCAACTATGTACTACAGTTTGTGAAGAAGTTCCTTTTATTCGCCCAAATCTCCCATCTTTCTGCTTCACTAAGCTCTAATTATGAGAGAGAGAACTTCACCACACCATGAATAATTTTATGTTTCTATCATTTTGGTATTTATCATGGGATTTCTTTCTGTTAAGTATATTGTACATCACTGGTGTCAAACTCGCTGCGTCACATTGCCATCATGCGACGTTTCGTGATGTTTTCCCCATTCGCAGAGCTGGGGTGGGTGTGGTCTGCGTGTGATACATCTGGCCTGTGGGCCACCAGTTTGACATCTCTGGTGTAGATCATAATCATTATCACTTCTTCACAGCTAACTTTTAATTTTAATTTTTTTACAAATATTTTACAGTGATTTTCTAGTTTTGTTTTGAATGTGATTATTGCTTTATCTGGAATTTAACAAATTGGAGCATACCAATATTATTAGCTACAGTCTACTGATTATTATTACTACAGTCTACGGATGCTATTAAAATGACACTACTATGATGCATCCTCTTTCTTGTAAATACGAAACGATATTTACCTTTGTTATGAACATTTTCCTTCCAGCAGCAAATAACAGTGTGGAATAGGGATAAATATGCATATATAATTTGGTAACCTTATAGGTTTAAATGTTATATATATATTTTATATATATGGTAATTTAGGGATTCATTTTAAGTTCTGTTCTCATCAGCAATTCTGTGTAACTTTAAATAGGAAACTTTGCCCCAAGTGTTGGGGAAATTTTGGCATTGCATATAAATCAAGATAGTCCCTAATTACTTAACATCTGGAAGCCATATGTCAACCTGTGGTAAAGATGTATATCTCTACAACAAGAAGTTCATCTCAACAAGAAGTGCAGTCAAATCCCTGACCTGATACCTGGAGACTATTAAGTGTCTGTGTAGGGAGAAAAGACTTAATCTCTGCAAGGTGGAGTGGCTGCTTATTCAGAAGCTTCTATCCATCTTGGACTCTCCAGAAGGGATTATGCCCCTATGTAGAAAGCAGGTTCATAATCTAGATAGTAATGGCTCTTGGTAGAAGTACAGGTAAAACCCATGGTTTGGAAAGTTTGTGTAGCTTTGGCATGGGTATTAGTTGTGACATTTTCTGGAATGGATAGAGCTTTATTAACAGTTACGGATCTTTTTCACCTATGTTTATACCAGGCATATCCAACCCGTAGTCCATGGGCCATATGCGGCCCTGGTACTAGTAACACATCCTCAGAAGATTGTAAACTTTTAATATTATTATTATGTGATTTATATATGTTAACTATATTATATTTTACATGTGACCCTAAATAATTCCTATTCAATCAGTGCAGCCAAGGCAAGCCAAAAGAATGGACACCCATGGTCTACACTATTAGAATTTGAGGATCATTTAGAAGCTATAGCTGGTTCAAAATGCAGTTGCTTACATGATAGTAGGTTATTTCCCAATTCCCAGTTTACACATATGAGACAGTTATTGTGGGAAGTACATTGACAAGCTTCTGGTTGCAATTCAGGATGTTCATTTTGATTTTTAAACCTATTACAGCCTATAAGTATATGGCAGTGGAAAGATATGTTCATGGGGAGTGCTTCTGAGAGGACCCTTCTCTGTCATGTTCTTCTCTGGGAATAAGTATGGTCCATCTATATTTGTATTTCAGAAGGCAGTCAAGACCTGGTTGTTTTGTAGGCTGTTGGGGATGGAATGGGGTGATGCTCTACATGTTCCTGAAGTTGGTTAGAAGGTGCAGAGTGGATTAGATTTATTGTATTTGATATATGTATTGTGGTTTTTAATGTAATCACTATATAGGAAATTGTTAGTCAGAATTTTTAGGTTAAACAGACATATAAATTTGAGTATAATTAAAAATATAGTGAGTGTATGCCACATTATCTATTGATAAATATAAATACATGATACATCCATGTCAAACTGAATTGCTAACCATATTCACACTTTAACTGGATTCATTTAACTTCTTTGTACTACAGAGTTGACTTTAAATCTGTAGCAGTCGTGTGACATTTGAGCTAGAACAGAACACACCATATTTATGGTTTGAGTTTTTTGTGGAAAAAGGGGTCTGAATAGTTGAAGCTTCCATTACGTAATAGTCTCTGGTTTGTTATAATTGTATTAGTACAATCAAATTCTTGCAGTTTCAGCCATGAAAACTTTGCATTGTTTCCTTGAGTGGCACATCTTCCCTTGAGTAAACCTTGGCTTTAATTTAGATGATTATGAGTCCTTGATAATTTTGAGGTAAGGATGTTTTTATGTACCTGTCTGACTCCTCTTTCAGATAGGTGTATTCCTTTTTACAGTAACTTTCATTACCAAAAAAGATACAGAATGGTTAATCATTTATTTAAGAAAGACATATAAACAAATCTAATAGTTTGACTTTGAATTTGGATTACTTTATGTAGAATAAGAGTATTTTAAAATATTAAAAGTATATTAGAACATTGGATTAAATCAGATTATAATTTAAAGATAGGATAGAAATTTCTGGATTTTATTCTACACTTTGAATGAAAATAGATTTCTGGATTCCTACCTACAACAGAAAAGTTAACAAAAGCTAAAAAACTACTTTGGGATTTATTGGTTCACATGGTTAATGTATTGGTTTAGAAGCCGATTCCAAAAACCTGAATTTGTGAAATAGATAACTGTTTCTGTAATAAGGTTAGTTCTGAAGTACTAACTTACTTCTGTGAATATATGTCTATTTACACTTTTCTTGTTAGTAATCCAAATTGCTTATAGTATTATATTAGAGAAATTCAGAATAAGTGAAAATGACTATAGGTTTATGATACTATCGAGACCAAACCTGAGTTGAAGCTTAGCTATAAAGAACATCAACTGTTGCTTTTGTTTTGTGGGGAGTCTAGGGTGGTGATAATCGGGTTGTGCTATGGGAATGGGGGAATTGGATGCTAAAAATATGGCTTTCTGGCACTAACGCAAATCCCGTCTGTATTTAAATGCTGTCCCCAGGTTACAACTATGGCTATATCTGCGTGGAGTTTTCCCTCTTGGAAGAGGCCATCGCCTGCATGGAAGCCAACCAGGTTGCTTTACACTTCGGTTGAAAATGCTGCTAGAAGAATATTTTTGTGGGGTGGACAACACTTAGTATTTGAAAAAAAAAAAAAAAAAAGCAAAATTCAGAGAAAGGCTTTTTATTCCAAAATGTACATTATGGCAGCTAATATTCTCACATCTCCCAGAAATACAAGCAGGTTTTATTTTTTACTACAAAAATCTCATAGTTTTCCTGAATTATCTACACTCACATGTTCATGCTTTGCTGGCGTGATAGATTCAAAGTGTGGTAATTAAGGAAAATGCTCCCAGTTCTTGTGGTTATCCTTATGAGTTTCCGTATCTAGTGGATTTCAAGATAAGCATTCAATCTGAGCTGTTTTACTTTCTTGACTGCGTCACAGCAAACCGACAATCTTGACTGTACTGCAAACTCTCTTCTCTGTAAGCAACATTGTTATATGCTTGAATATTTACTTGCACCTGTCTTGGTTTTATGCTAGACATTAATACTCAGTTTCAAGTGAAAAATCTTGTTTACATGCTCACTCCATCTGTTTATGTGATTTTATCTGGTGCAGATATATGGAACTATATTGTCTGCCTGTATTCATATTAATTGTGTGCAAGTTGAAGCTACTCAAAAGATACTGCAAATGTACCTGGTTAATCTGAATATCTTTAATAGTCTATTTTTTTTAAGAAGTAGGAAAGAGCCCCAAATATACTCAGTGATAGTGTGGGCTAGATTCTTATGTTGGTAATTTTATAAGTAAAAATAATAAATTAAGATATTTGAGATAATTAAGACAGGTGCCCAGTATTTTTCACACATAGAAACTGCATGAATGTTATCATCTAATGTTTTATGTTGTTTCAAGCTAGGCCTATTTTTGAATTGATAACATTTCTCATGAAATTCCTATTAGTTGGAAATGGTGCATTTTTAAAACAAATTGAATCAATAAGTTAATATTAACATCTGTCGGATTCATAATTGAATCAAGTGTGGCTGAGATAAATCAGACCAGCTTTTCATTGTCAGAGTATCTCTTTTTGTCAACACACACCTCAATTTCATCATTGTCCACATTGAAACTTCACCAACTGCAAACAAAAATAAATCATAAAATAATTAAACATTGCAGTGCTAAATATTTTAATCCCATTTTAACACAATTTTCCTATATTGGTCAAATTATCAATACTAAAATAGAATTTTAGATTTCATAGTTTTTTAAAAAGGCAGAATTATATGTCCCTGTAGATTATGAACTCCAGTTAGATTTTCCAGTGGGCATATTGCTTTTTCTTCTACATTTATTGTAATATATAGTTCTTTCCCAGTAGAATTAAAAGCAAATACACAGTTATATTTAAGATTAATTTCAAACCATTAAAATAATGAGATACCCATCCTCCTTTTTACATCATCCCCATATATAAAGGTTCTGAAGCAGTTTGAACAGAAGCTTAACACTGAAATTCTAAGATTCCTTTATCTTTGTAAAAGAAATGGAATATTAATTTCACTGGGTTTAAATGTGAGTTTTCTAAAATGTGTATGTGCTGAGTCTGGACAATAGCTTGAAGTAGTCCCTTAGGTTTCTTGGCAAGATTTTCAAGACTGATTTGTTATTGCCTTCTTCCTACTGCTGAGAGACAGTGTCTGGCCCACAGTTAACTCTTGTGGCTTCATGTCAAATATCAGACTACAGCTCAGTCGTCCCAGTTTCTAGCCCTTTACCATTACAACAAATTGGCTCTTGTTTAAATACAAAATAGTTGTATAACATACTTTCAGTTGACCATCAGGCAATTGCCTATGAACTCTTAAAATGTGATATAAATGCCAGCAAAGAAAATACTGCTTACGTTTAATATGACTACTGTATATACTCGAGTATAAGCCTAGTTTTTCAGCCCATTTTTTGTGCTGAAAAAATCCCCCTCGGCTTATACTCGAGTCAGATTCCCCTCTGAAAAAAAAATGGTGTGGAGTTGCGGCCTCCGGCGGCAGCGACTCCCAACAGCCCCAGCCGGGAAGGGAAAGGCAAAAAGCGCTTTGCCTTTCCCTTCCCGAGGCGGCGGGACTGGGGCCGCGCCGGCGGTAGTGACTCCTGACTCAGGGGGCCTCCGAGGGAGGGGAAGAGAGTGACTCCTGCCTCCCGCTGTCATCATCATCTTCTTCTTTTGGGTTAGTGAATCAATTAAACCTTTCATGATAGTGAGATCGTTTCCCAAATTAATTATTTTTATTTTTGAAATTTACCAGTAGCTGCTGCATTTCCCACCCTCGGCTTATACTCGAGTCAATAAGTTTTCCCAGTTTTTTTGTGTAAAATTAGGTGCCTCGGCTTATATTCGGGTCGACTTATACTCGAGTATATACGGTATATTGTTTTGTAAACGTTTCACCAATAAGAACCAACCAGAAAATTTTGTGTTCAGTACCCATTTTTATCACCGAACTGCCCAAAAAATGGAAGCAGCCTCTTCTTCCCTCATTCTCTTTCTAGTTTATGATATATCATACTTCATTTTAGGTAACCTGAAAGTATTTCTACAGTCCATAGCTTATGATTTGGTAATTTTGGAGCCATAATTAATTTGAACAATAACTTTCGTTGCTCAGTTTATTGATGTTGGGCAATTCAGTTTTAGGTGACTTCTAAAAAGATTGAACTGAGTGAAGGACATTGTTCAATTCTTTAAGAAAAATTAAGAAAACTTTAAAAGATAATTGAGTTTTTATTCAAGTATGGCCTAAACCAGTTGTCAATAATGCATGTTGATATGTGAGTTCTTTTCAGTTGAATAGCCTAATAATAGCCTATTGAGCTACCTTTTGCAAGTGAACAAACATATATTGCATCCATCTCTTTTTGCAATAACTAACTCAGAGATAGGAAATGAGTATTTCAGCTAAGCACATTTTTTGTCCTGTATTACCATTAAATTTTGTGGAGTTTTGATTATTAACTCAGATTGACCTGGTTAATCTTAATTTTCAATGACCCTGGAATGATGACTGACTGACTGACTGACTGACTGACTCTCTCTCTCTCTCTCTCTCTCTCTCTCTCTCTCTGTCTGTCTCTCTCTCTCTCTCTGTCTCTCTGTCTCTGTGTGTGCGTGTGTGTGTGTGAGTGAGAGAGAGAGATTATGATTATATGCCATCAAGTCATTTTCAACTTTTAGAGACCATATAGATTTTCTCCATGACTATATGAATGTTTTAGATTCCTGGGGATTTCAATTTGTATATAAACCTTCTGTTCCCTATTTTTAACTACTTCTTTTTTATTCTGGAAATTTGCTTAATAGAAACTTTTCTGGCAGTTTGGTCTGTTTTGAATTAAAACTGAATTTTGAAATTTCCCCTGGCATTTTAGAAGCACGTTAACGTTGGCTACGTTAACAAAGGCAACAATGAAGGGAATGCAAAACCTAAACACAATAAATTTATGCTGAATTCCTGTTCCGCTGAATAGAGGGAATTATTTGAAATTTAGGCTTTGGTATTTGTGATAGTATAATCATTTGTTGCAGAGTGCAAGCTCTAAGTGGTATCTCTGCCTTTATTGTTATAAATATGTTATGTTCAACCAAACTTCCTGAGCATCCTGTGTTCTTTTAAGGATTTATACAAAATTGGATTGGATTGCTTGGTTCAAGTTGTCTCTTGCTTGGTTTGCGGATATTGTTTCCACATACATGTTTGCAAGATACCAGTTTTTAAAATTCATTAGTGGGACAAAGCACAAAAATATTGTATGAATCAATATGTACTGAACGGAATTCATGTTCCAAGTAAGCATTTTCACCTATTAGGATCTAATTCTTTCATTTCTCTGCTAAATAACAGCCCTCAAAATGAAATACTCAATAGTACTTAATTAATTAATTAAAATTGGTATTATTGAATGCTCATTTTTTTCTGAAGGCATTTGTTTCTTTCATGTGAATTTTTTATCTTTAGGAAAAATTATTAACTTCTACAGTGGGATAAAGGAAACTATCTGAATTTTTAAAAAATATGACCTAGGCTTTAATAATAATGTTAATAATATGGCATTATTTATGAATTTTTGTTAAGACAATGGATGGAAACATAAGACTTAAAAAGCTAACTAGTTGTTTATTCCTTTTGCGTACATGTTGTCCTCTACTAAAAAAGCATGCCTGTTATGGTCTTCAGCCATGAAGATTGTAAAGCAGGTCACCAGATGATCAACCTGATATTAAAACCTCTTTTTGTGGCAGTTGTTAAACAAATCACCATGATCATTAAGAGAATCTACAGTCATTAAGTGAACACAGCAATTGTTAAGCAAAGTCATTGTTTGTTGTGGGGCATTTTTGTTGAAAATTAGACGTACCAGAAGCATCATAAATTGTGGTCATGTGACTATGGGGATGCTGCCAAATATCTGTAAATGGCAGCGAAGGCATGCTGTCGACCTCATTGGTCATAAAATTCTGGTGGGGTCCAGGGGAAGAGCCTTCTCTGCCATGGCTCTTGCCCTTTGGAACATCTTGCCTCCTGACGTAAAATTGGGTCCACCTTTCTGACTTTCCACAAGACCTTAAAGACCAGGCTCTGCCTATTGACTTGGGGCCCCAATGCAGTAGTATCATGCTGGAAGTGGTTGATGGACTAATAGCTGATCCCACCCCAAATATTTTGCACACTCCCTCCCAATCTTTTAATCATAATCAGTATTTTATTGTATTTAAATATATATGTATTTTATGGTTTTATTGTTTTAATGTTGTAAGCCTCCAGGAGCCCTGGTGAGATGGTTAGCAAATGAACTTAATAAATAAATCAATTTAATAAATAAAACAATGCAGGTCACTTGCCAAGGGCCTGAAATGCAGCCATGTGACCATGGGGTCCGGTGGGTGGTGGGTGGGATTGGCCTTCTGAACTTCAGAGCTGGGTCATAAGTACCTTTAGGGAGGTCTGTCATAACTTCTACCTTTTGGGAGGTCTGTCATAACTTCAGATGGTCACTAAGCA